AAAAAAAAGAAAAATGGGGTGTACGGAGCCCCTTGCAACCCGGGTGGGGCACGGTTCCGGACGTCATACAACTGTGATAGGGTCCGCAGAGAGCGAGGGAGAGGGGAAGGACGCCGGCACAGGAGTATAGTATGCACACCTACACCTCAAGCCTGTGAAGATTAATAAGGCACCTTTCGAAGGTGTGAGGCACCGGGGCCAGGGCGCAGGCTGTCGAGAAAATACGTGACTCGTGAGACAAAAGCGCGTTTGGAAAGGCCCCAATCCCAAATAGCAGCACACGTGAGGGGGTTTGACATCACCGTCATGTCGTCGCTCTTCAACGGAGGACGCGAAGCTCCCAGCGTCTCGGCCGGGATCACGGTGAACGTGGCCGAACTCGTAGAGGCGTTTCCCAACTACCAGGTGAGGTCGCATGATAGGCAAGGCCTTGTGTTTCGCTCAGGCATATGCATGCTTGCATTCACGAGCACCGCGGTTGCCGTTGGAAACAGCAGTGGCAGACTGGGCACGGGGAAAATCGTGCGCGTTTCGTATCTTGTGCGATTGTGCGGCGAGTGGGGAGTGGTTGCCCCTAGCACACAAAATAGTTTGTGAACCGACATTGAATACGGCAGCGTAGGTTTCGTAGATCCGCCCTGCGCATCCTTGCGTCGTTGTCGCTTAGCGTCAGTCCTCGAGGTTTGGCGGTTCAACATGGTGCGGCGGGTTTTTTAATGACACGGGCATGGTCATGGTCAGACAGCAGCTGCGTGCGGTATGAAGTCTACTGCCGTACAAACTATATATGAGTATGCACAGGACCTACTCGATGGAGCCAGGTTCACGGGCGCTGTTTGATACCCTCTTTATCCGCGCAGGGCAGCAGTGATGACTTGGTCGAATGTGTATAACAGACCATCCGGCACGCCCCCGGAGGTACAAGTACGTTATTTTGGAACCCCCCTCCAAACTCTCCGCAAAACACGCGACAACACACGTACCATTCGTACATACATATATGCCTATCACACATGCACGCAACATCGACGTATGTCATCCATGCACCTGATGGCCAAGGAAAGCTACACACGGCAGGAAAGAGGCGCTCCGCAGCAGTGTGCACGGGTTATTCCGATGCGGGTCGCATGAGGGGTCGAATCGAATACGTCTACTGGATGCTGCTGCTGATCCTTCGAGGCAAAACATGGGAACAAATCGGGAAAGTTACAACCCACCGCCCCTCTCCACTACAACCATGAGAGTTATCCACGCGGAAGAGATAAGATGGAGTACAGCAGTCGACCCCGCTTTGAAGACGCACATGGAATTTTATTTTTGAAAGTGTATTCAACGCGGGGAAATCTGTAGGTTTCAGGAGGGTGTGATACCTCACCGTCCCCGGGGTCAACGGAGGCGAAACATACGCCTAAAACACGCGATTGCAGCTTGGATACTAGACTATGTGGTAAGATCTTGAACTAAACCATCACAACAAGGAGATCGCTGAAAGTTGCACGTGCTTATCTTGCACGTCGTTCGCTGTTGAACCTCAATTAGCACTTCACCCCGCATTACATTTAAGAACAGCGGGTACTGAGCTGCGGGACGAGGCATTTCATGAAAAGAACATGCGTTGTGGTTGTTGTTGGCTATTTGACCTTATGGTGTCGTCGCCACGTTGAAACCCTTGCCGAGATGCAGTTCTACAGGTGTGCGTGCGTGCTGCAGCTTTACTTCGGGAGTCCCGAATAATGAAAATGGTACCCTCGTCTCCATATTGTTTTGATGAAAATGAAAAGCTTCGGGTCTGCAAGACTGCCGGCTGTGTAGCCAACAACAGTTCATCTGGTTTGCTCGTTCTAGATTGCTTGGTGTGTTCTTTTCAGCGAACATCAGGTCTCCTGAAAAGAGGGCCTCACTAAGAACAAGATAAACAAGTTGATGACGCAAGTCAGTAGTCTACTGTTCAAGTGACCTGTGCTACGGTGTGGCAGCAGTGAGCAAGTATGGTTAAACAAGCGTGTGCCACACCTTATTCACAGGTGTGCGGAGGTGCGGCTTAGACTTGAGTCTACAACCAAATGAGGAACTTGGTTGAGAGAAACGAGAAAGATGTTGTATGCCTACAATTTTGTTATATTGTTGAGCTGGGCGAGCGCTCTGCCTGGTCTGCCTTTTTGTCGATTACCGACGAAACTACGAAGAACCTTAGTACCAGTCCGGAACCATCACGGAACCGTTCCGGGAACCAAATACCGTTGGGGCACCCTTCTGAAATTTTTGTGTGTCCTTAAAGCGGGGATATGACGTGAGATGAGTGTCTTTGATGCCGGGACGACTGCTGTGGACTACTGGTATTTTTATGCTACAGCTGTCGTTGTTTAGGGAAGCAACAGAGATGCACTCGAACTTGGCCGTTTCGTGGGTGTTTCGCCCGTGTCCGTCCTTGAGCAGAAGTCGCCGACACTTGCAAAACAACAGCAGAACGAGAGTGTTGAAAGAACCGGAGGCCTTCAGAACGTCACCAAAAAGGATAGGTGCCCGGGTAGGAATCCTTGACTAAAACCAACTTCAGCAGATAGGATAACCCCATGACGAAAATATGACGTTCTTTATGTATCGACTATGGAGCCAGGTCGTGGAACACTCGAAAGCCACAACCAGAGTTGAGGAAATGCAGCGCGTCTCATCTACGAACAACATTCTTCTTTGCTCCACCGTGGGGTTCACCTCGCACAAGTGGTTTACAGAACACTCCACCCACCTTGAGAACGTCGTTCTTATGTTCTTATCATGGCTGAGGCTCGTTTCTTATTTTGTCTATGGGGTAGACTACCTCCATGGTGACTATATATAGGGTTTAGTGTATCCTTCTTGACTGAGCACCAGTTGTTGTGACCAATCCAATCTCTTAGATTTTGATTCTTTTTAGGCTCAAGTTATTCAATTCTAAGTTCTTATGTGGTGGCGTTGTGTAGTGCATCTCTGGCACCTACTACTGTACCTTCAGCTGACCCTTTTGTCAGAGAGCTCTTCTGAAAGTATTTTGGTATTGTGACTACAGATGACGCGCGCCCTTTTTAAGACCCTTGTAGTTAGAAATGCCACATACGAACTTGGGCACATTTCGTGGGCCCGTTGAGAACCCCTACACTAACACCTATTCAACGGCCATTTATAGACCACAAGAGGGCCTACTTGTAAGCAAGCCGTTGGACTATGCCCGCGAGAATTCATCTCCTCGTCGACGCCAATGAAGACACGGACTTCCGTCAGAGACAGAGACCGGTGCAGCTGCAGTATTCTCCCACTGCCAAAGGTGGCTTTTTCCTTTCGTGAGATGTAACGAGGAGAGAGGTAGAGGAAGAGAGAGAGCGAACCCCAGCGTCGGGCGAACACTATTGTGGACTTTCTACAGGGCGGGCGCTATCTGTGTACGAATGTATGCGTACGAACTCGTAGCGCACCACCGCTCAACACTTGTACACTACAACGATACAGTATTGAAGACGTTGGAATTCGTGTGAGATTACTTTGCCATACATGGGTGGGCATGAAGTACACCCACCAACTCGGAAAAATAAATCGAAAAAAGTCGTAGTAGTGATGGATGTCTGCCGTTGGGTACATACTGGGCACCAGGAAATACGGCGATTGAATGAATGTGTTGAGTTCCTTGCTGCCTATTGAGCCGTAGGTTTTACTGTTTTCTCTTGGTGATACGCTGGCAGCGGCGGCGCGTCGGGTTGAACGGCTCTGGAGAACTTTCCGCAGGTGCAACGATAGTCAATTTCGACAATGCTCCAACGATCCTGCGGACCAACGATAGTCATTTTCAACAATCCTCAAAGATTCTAGCTGCCAACGATCCTCCGGACCAACGATGGTCATTTTCCCGTGCCATTCTACGGCATACTACAGACCTTCGCGCTCTTGCCATCGTACTGTCATAGCTTGGGTACTACTCTTACCGTTGCCTATTTGGCCGACGGCGAACACAGAGAGGACATAACTTGTCTACTGTCTACCATATGGGCAGGTAAAAACCCTTGACATACTCATGCATTTGCATGCAGCAGTGGGTAAATGGCACATAGACGGAACGCACATCGGCAAGAAAGAACACAATACCTCCACGATAAGGACCAAAGCGATAATCGCGTCGTTCAATTTTGCGTGTGGGGTGTGGTTTTCTGGCCGCAACGACTGTTGTCGCTTTCACACCCCACGTGGTGCCTCGTTCCCGACGACGATGATGATGATGGTGATGATGATGGTGATGATGATGATGATGATGATGATGATGATGATGATGATGATGATGATGATGATGATGATGCTTGTGTGCAGGAACCGGACCGTGTGCAGCGTGATGTGCTGGAGCTCTCCAAGAGCTGTAAGACCTTGGTCCCCAAGCGAGGGAGCGTGGGTGAGCACCGCGAGCGCGCTGGGCAGCAGTATTGCACAATGCGCCCAAGGGGCCGTACGTGGGTGGTGGGAATACGCCCAAACAACGCCAGAACGGAGCGGCACCCCAAAAATCGGTCACGGCGTTCGTTAGGGTAGTCGGCGCACCGATGTATCGCTCATTTCTTGGCTTGGAGTGCTCTAATTTTCGTTTTGTGCAGATGAGCTTGGAGGTCAGGGAACGGGTCTAGTGGTCACTATGGTACGTAGCCCTCTTCTGTCGCCAAGAGCCAAGAGGTGTGCTCTACGCAACAACGGCTATTGTTTTTTCCGTTGTTGCGGTTGTTGCTGCACTTGTTCCTGGCGACCAGTGCAAGACCAGGTACCAACTGGCGTTTTTCCACAGCAGGCCATTAACGCGTCATCGCCGAAATGTACGAAGGACCGGTGTTCAATGTGCCGTCGAGGCATTGGCCATTGTCATGATTTGTTGGTGACGCACCCCCATGCGCCTGTGATCTCCCCTCGCCGCTTTGCCATTGCGTCGCTGTCGTCGCTTGTCTTTCTTTCGCCGTTCCTTGTGGAAGATTTGGAATCTGGGCGAGCGGAACTGTTGACGCTACACGGGACATTTCCCATGGTGTTCCGCGACGCACAGTACTTCACCCCTGTACAGGTAAGCAAAGACATGGCTGTATGTATGCGTTTCGCATATACTGAGGTAGACTACATGAGTTTTACATGGATTTCGTGTCGGGAACACACATTTGCCTTCATCTCTTGAAGACACAACCACGCGGTGGTATTTTTTTTTGTCTTCTTCGATGTGCCAACATTTCCGAAGATGCGCAACGTACTATTTTAACCTGTTTGTTGGTGGGTTGTTTTCCGGTCACTGATGATACGTCTTTCATGTGTACCATTAGTTTTTTCCATTGCTCAGACCTTCTGCCGCGACGTCGGGCTTCCCCACTTTCAATACTGCAGCCATCTCTCTGTATCGTGGGCGATCAGCACCTTTTTGTGTCCGTTTCCCCGGCGGCGGCATCTTTTTGTTTGGCAATATGCCTAGTATACATGTAAACCAAAACCTCGGGTGCACTCACACTATTCCCCAATGCCCCCCTCTCCGGTCTTCGTGTCATTCCGCGGGTTGCCTTTTTTCAATCTTTCTTGTGTTCAGATCTACATCACGGAGAGCTACCCGGCTTCTCCCCCGGTGTGCTACATCATACCCACTCCTGGTGGGTACGGTAGAGACGTACATGTACGGACGATTCTCGTGCACCGCAACGCGGCGGAACTCACGGAAATCGTTAGCTAGCTAACTCTTGTGCTGGGAAGGGTAGGAATTGCCTCGAAGTAGTTCGAATTGGCCCCTGAATGGATAGTGGTGGATATTGTTTGCAATAGCCGTCGATTACCCGGCAGTTCTGTTTTTATCCCCTTGCCCGTAGTTCAGTTTTTTGTTGCCATGCCCCTTAGCCCGTGGTTGTACCGCCACTGCTATGTCACTGAATGTTCCCACGTTTGTCTGGCTGCCAGGGTGTGACTGGTTTTTGCGGTGACTTACCACTCCTGGCACCGAGAGGGTGGAGTCGCACTCGACCCGTACTTTGTACGCCGCGCGCTGTGTGCCGCAGCGTTGCGTGTCAGCCCTATTAATCTTTGCGCACCAGACCCCCCTAGACCTCGTCGGTCGTACCGACCGTGCCTTTTAGGGTAAGGTACATGTACCCTTCTTTTCACCAAAACAGATCGTGTCTGAAGCCCCTGTGTGATACCCATGGGCCTATCTAATCACAGCCATGTACGGTGCTTCTCTGTGTTGATAGTTTGTATCCCTTTTGGGGTGATTGGCCTATGACCACGGAAGGCGTCCGCGTCAGCTGGACCAGCGTGACGGACATTAACAGGTCCTGAGCAGACTTATATCTTTTTTAATGCGAAGTCAAATGTACAAGCGCCGTACGAACTGCACGGATGGCGCGGCACCCGGCCCTGCCATGTCTCTTCATGTTGCTGTCGAGGGTGACTTGCTGCTGTCGACGCCGACACCGCCGCCCTCTCTCGCCTTGCCTCACTCTTAACTCTAAAAAACTGCATCCTTGCTCGAACGCGGGCACATGGCAACCGCTTTTTCATCTAACCATGCCACAACCTTAACCACGTCGTGGTGTTCTCCCTTCTTTGGCGTTCGAGCAACCCATCCGGCTTTGCCTTCTGATCAACCAACATTAGGTATGTCCTTGAGAGCTGGCCATCAAAGTGTCGACGAAACCGGCCTGGTCTCCCTGCCCTACTTGCAAGGCTGGAGCGCCGCTCACAACCTGGTGGAGTTAGTGGGCACCATGTCGACCGTTTTTGGAGCGCAACCCCCGGTAAGCGCCTCCCGTATCAACACCAACACCAACACCAACACCATCATTACTTCGAGGAAGACATGGTGGGAAGCAAAGGCTCCAAGCTTGGACAGCAAGCATGCCTACCACATGAAGAACCCGAACGTCGACGTAAACCTTAACCTTTCCACTTCGCATAAAGGGGGAGGGCTGGGGGTCCCCTTTTTGTTGCTTTCGTCCGTGCTTTGTTGTGCCATAGACAAACGTTTTGGAGATGAGTCGCCGTCCATGCTGCGCGAAGAGTCATAGATAAAGTCTTCACCGTAGTCGGGTGATGTTCGACTTCGGTTTTTGTTGCATTTTTCACGAGGATGTTTTGCTATATTACCTCCCCTTTCATAGCCGCCTGATGTTGCCACCATCTGCTTGCACCGCCTGCAGTCGTAGAGCGAACTTTTCTCTCGATGCTTTTCATGGCCTTGTGGCGTACCAAACCCCGGAGACGTCACACACACCTCAAGTTTCCCCACCTCTACCTCTTCCTCCTCCACGGCACGCGTCCGTGTTATTTGTTTTTCCTCCTTGTATGCATAGCATTCAACGCAATCCCTAATGTTGAGTGGATGCTACTGTCCTCTGCTCCGCCACACGACACTCCTAGCATGTTCCGATCCATGGACCCAACGGACCTATCACTCGCCCTATGTTCACAACATTCAAGAGCTGTGCACAAGATACGTACGTGAAGCTAGATGGGACAGACACTTCGGAGGGCACGAGCAACTTTGGCAGAAGTGCAATAATTGATGGTCCCACGAAGCTGACATTTGACGTGCACCTACCTTGAACTCACGAAAATTCCGCACCCATCCCGCCCCCTTCCCTTCTCTCGCGTTTCTGCCTTTCAGCTTTTCGCCACCCCCTCGCCCAGTTCCTCGACTCCCACCAAGACCACAAAGGTGTGGTCGGCGTACGATTTTGCGGGTGGTCGCCGAGCTTCCTTGGTTTCGTTCGTTGCTCCCACCGTCGCTGCGATCGGCCTAGGCGTTTTGAAATGGTATAGCATGGCTTGTAAAGTAAGGCCTCAGGGCCGTCTCGAGCAAGTTAGGTTGTCCTGTCCCTCTGGTCCATTGATACAAGAGAATATGTAGTCGTTTCCTTCTCCCACTCACGTCACAGAAAATAAACCGTCCATCGACGAAGAACTACCCTCTTGACAATGAATGTGGATGCAATATTATTTATGCAGTGCAGCTTCAGTAGCGACTACCGGAGGCTGGACTTGACTGAGTCGGTCATGGTCCACTCCTTCCTTCCCCGTTGCTTGTCGATCGGGTGCATTGGTGCATTGGTGTTGTTCCAACCCCTCCATCAATGGATGGAGACTGTCGGTCGTTTGGTGCAATCTCTATTGGTCCCGTTGCTTTTGCAACCGGTTTGGCTTTTCTGACCGCGAACCAACAGCACAACTTGTCGAGTGGTCCGCTTTTTCCCCCTCCCTGGGGTTGGGATACCTAGATACATGCGTTTCCTCTCGCAATGCATCCCGTCAATGCCACTCTGGCGTGGCATAGAGGAAAACACCTCCTTGCGTGAGAAACACAGTCCAACGTTCTCTTGACCAGTTTCAAGAAGTGATGGTGCGTGACCTTCTCTGTCCATCTATTACCTCTCTCGGTAGCCTGTCTGATCAACTTGTTTTGGTGAGCTGGATGAGGCCATGTTCACCTGTCGATTCTTCCGTCGCCTTGGCCTGTCTTCTGTTGCACTGTAGGTTTTCTGCTTCCGGCAAAGTTCCCTCGTTCGCTGTTTCTGCTAGAGGACAGAAATGGTAACCCTGAAGCCCTAGAGAAACGTCGACAGGGAGTAAAATTCCCAAATATTATTGTGCAGAATGTTGCTCAAGCGCGAAGAACACCTGGAATTGCGCCGTGTGCTCCATTGGGAGAGACGGCTTCTCTCCATCCGAAGGGATGCGTGCTAAGTGATGACATGATCACAGGCAAGCTACAAGTGAGCCCCAATCCCTGGCGTCCCTCCTCTCTGTCACTCTTTTTCGTACGCTATTGTAGGCTTCTGGTGCTTCCGGAAAGCAAGGCACCTTGCAAGTGGTGTGCCCCAACTACGGAAGAACGGGGACCAAGTCAATGAAAGCAGCCCTAGAGATCCTAGGGTTTGGGCCGTGCTACCATAGTGAGTGCACCCTTGATAACGCAAGTGGCCCCTCTTGCCCTGTTGTAACAAGCGCAAATCGTCGCACCGACAATGTCCTTTTCTGGAAAGGCATGTCTGTCTGTCTATCTGATGTTTGCCTGTCTTTTGTCTACCTGCCTTCCTGTCTGTCTGTCGTTCTGTTTGTTGTGGTTGAAAGGTCAAGGTTTATGATAGGTGGAGAAGGACGCATAGAACCTCCCCAACGTGTGTCGAGGATGATTCCCTCTTTTGGCATATCGACGGTTCACGAAATTGCATTTGCTGAATGTCATAGCCCTGGACCTTTTGCGTTGTGTATTGTAGAGCTAAAATAATGGCATCATCCTTGTTTCCATCTTGTCGTTGTAGTGGGGTCTGTGACCAGCCACGGACCCCCCATTTATCTATTTTTTGACAGCGTGTACGGAAAATATGCGTGCCCTCAAGCAGGTCTCACACCTGTCCGTGTTTAAGAAAACGATCACGACAACTACGCTTTGTGCTCCAACATAACACTACGATCGTGCTGTCTACCACTGCTGCTGTCGCTATGATACGTGATGGCGTCAACAAAACGGAACAACGGCGCCAACAACAGTGGTCAGCCTAGTTGGGAGCCACCTGAAGAATCACCCACAGGCGAGTGGTGCAGTGTGAACCTCCTTTTATATCCTCAAGCCTACGCTCTCAACCATTGCCTTCTTCGATCATCTCGAAGAATATTCGCTTGGAACGACAGCAAAAGTCGTGGGCGTGTCCCAAGAAAGGATGAACAGCATGGTAGCTCTTCGACCCCACTGGCTAGTACATCGTCCGTGTGTTCTCGCAACAACAAAGAGAAGTAAGGTTCTATTACGCGTCTCAATTGAGAAGAAGCCTGCCTCGATGAAACACGACCATTGTTGGCCTGTAGGAGAGACAAACAGGCGGATGCACGGGGGCAGAATCGCGTGTTAAATCAGGTTGAGAGGAACACTACCAGAGGGGAGCATCCTCGTATGTCGCCCACCCCGGTTTGAAGTCAATAGCGTTAGGGTATGTAGGCACAGGCACCGCCATCGGTTTCAGCACGTGGGACGTTCAAAAGAAGCAAAGAGCACCATGCGACGTACAGGGTTTTCCGGTAGCGTGGATGTTAGGGTAGCCTCTCAAGATTATCCTATCCTATGCGACATTTTCATCCAAATATCGTAGCTTATTTTATGACTCGGGTGAGACGTTCCATTGGCCGCACCAACGGACTTGGTTGGCACGGGTATTTCTTTTCAAGCCTCTCTTGGCATGTGTATTTCTTTCCAAGCCTCTCTTGGCATGTGTTGGTAGAATAATACCGGCACATACCCCAGGTAGGGTCAAATGCCGCGGGTCTGTTTGAATGGAAGACGGGGGAAGCGTATCGCTGAGCCTCTGCCATTGCTGCTGCTGCTGCTGCTGTTGCCTGTACCCGACCCTGGATTGCGGCGCTTCCGCTGGTGTCTTAGCATCCCGTGCTGATTTCCACTGCTCGCGCTGCTTGTCCCCGTGCCAAGCGTGGGCTTCCGTGAAACGTTTCCGTCGGCGCTATTTTCTGATACTTTCGTAGACATTCACGTGCTATCTTCTGATCGGCTTGTTTCTTGTTCGGACGCCTCGTTTCGTATCCCCTTGTTTCCTCACAGCTGTGGGTGGATGGGTTCCAGGGCCGCGGGCTCGACGTCAACAAAATATTGGACGGATACAAGGCGGTCGTGGATTGGCCGGCGGCAAGTTTCTACAAGGTTCGTCGTGGGTATGTTTCTAAAAGCTGCATGCGTTTGCATTGTCGTGGGCTCCACTTGCCGCTAGCGCCTCCAACAATCTCGCCCCTGGAACTGCAAGCGGGCACCCATGTAAGCAGATATCAGAACGACAATTTCTTGTTTGTTTTCCCCCTCATCATGTGTTTATTTTGTTTCGGTTCGGGAGGCATGTTTAAAAAACGCCTGTCGTGGCCGAAAAAGAAGGAGCGCCAGGCATCATCATCTCCTCTGCCTGCGCAGCTTGCACGTTACCCTTCATTCGTAGCGCTTCGAATCCATTCCGCTATAGGTGTCATTTTTCTCTTTGTTTGTCCCATTTTTTCCGTCGGTCATGTGTGCCATCTACCGTACGATTTGCCGATCTCAACGGTAGAGTTACCGTGACGGATCGGGTACGCAGAAATATTTCATCAGATATGCATGCCCTTGAAGGCAGTAAGGCGAAAAGGACGGGCCGTCATGTAGGGATGGATGGCACTGGTAGCACGTTGTTCTTTGGTGAGTTTCTTGTCATGTGACTCGAACATAGGCATTCTTCGTGTGTGCCTCACCTCACTCGGGGTGGTCGTGATCTCCGTGATCTCCGTTACCTGGCAGGAGGTCTTGCAATCGAACCCGCACGCGAAGGTCATCATGACCGTGAGGGACCCAGATGCTTGGTGGAACAGCATGGTGGCGTCCATCCACACCATGAACCCTGTCCTCGGGGGATGGGGTGAGTAGACCAACGTACAGCAGGACCAACCTCTTCTCTCGTCTTTTGGCGCACGCATGGGTTGTCTCAAGCACTACACCCCGAAACACTTACTTCAAGGCTAGATGTTTGTCATAGCATGGTTGGTGATGGTGGTGGTGGTTTTGTGCTATCGTTGGCGTTGGTAACGGTGTTGCCTCCGCGATAAGGACCTCATATCTAACCGGTATATCCTTCCTGCAATGCACGGGTGTAGGACGACACGAGTATCCGTCACTGGTGACAAGCAGCGAAACCCGAATACCGATGAGGGAAGGCCTCGAGAGAGAGAAAGAGAGCGTGCCGCCCCTCCTGAAGGATTAGTCCACAGCAGTACAACGGCGAGAAGCTCTTCTCCAATGTTTACATATACATGTACGGCGAACTATGTTATTGTCGCACGTAACGTCTTGCTTTCACGCCATACAATTCTCCCCCTGCTCCAGGTTTAGCCCAATAACGTGAATGGCGTTGTTGATATCCTGACGAAAGCTCCAGAATCTCGTGTATTTTCCAGGTTTTCGGATGTCATCATTTGTCCCCCCCCGTTTTTTTCTCGGTTTCAAGCTCTTTCCCTTTTGATACCACTTCAATCGCCGCCGATCGCAAAGTTGCCCTTCCATACCCACTAATCGTCCGATCCGGATTTGCAACTTGGTGCTGGGTAACTCTTACGGGGAGGTAAAACAATCCCTATCCCCATCCCTTATCTTCTCGAGGCGCTTAACTTCGGTCTCTGTGATCGTGTTGGTCTGGATGTGAGCATGCTCAGGTTACAAGGTAATTACATACAGCAAACGTCGAGCCTTCTTGGGTTGACACCCCTGTAAGGTGTCTCGCGCTAGTAGTAACTGCAGGACAGGACGCTCTCAAGCACGAGAACAGTTCCACAATCAATGACGGTCTCGTCCCTTCCCTCCTTGGTGCGGTTGTGATCTCGCACAAGAATTAATGGATCGATTCATGCTGAGGGAATTTCATCGCGTGTGTGCGCGTGTTTTTTGAATCTCCAGGAATATTCTTCCTGGAGGTGCTCAAGTCCGACGTCCGTCTGTACAAGCACATGCTGGGGTACATAAAGACCCACACGATGGAAGAAGACGAGGCGAAGGCTGATTACGTCAGGCACAACAAGGAGGTCTTGGCTCACGTCGGTGCTGATAAGGGACGCGAGGTATGTGACGCCTCTTTTCAGTCTAGCGCCATCGACAGTGGGACAACTTGACCGGTCCCGATTGCGCGCCAGGGCCGATAAATTGATGTGGCGAATGGTGCATCGACTTGGTTCAAAGGGCCACGCAAACACACTGCCAGCAGATGTGTCGACGACAAACCTGATTTTCCCACCTCACGTACGACAAGAGCTGCCACGTTGAGGTAATTATGTGTTGACAGCGCTATGCCAAGAATAGATCAAAACAACCGAGATCTGACAGGGTTTGGGAAGGTTATAGAAACTTGTCCATCGTTTCGATGTATGCATATTTTCCGCGACATGTTTTTTTTTTCACGTGGTCGTTGTTGCGCCAAAGTAGTGACGGTTCGATTCCCTCTTCAGCATCTTCCAACATCCGCCTGGTCCGACGGGGACGCCTTTCCTAGTCAAAGGCTGACTACAGTACCCCCAAAAGGGCACACATTATTTAATAGATTGCCCTGTTCTCGCAGGGCTGCCTCCAATCCGTGGTCCGCTTTCCTTCGATCCTTTGAACGGATTGGATTTCGTGCGTACCGGCGTGACGAAACGACGAAAAATAAATCCTAACGGGAAAAATAGGAGCGAGGGTGTCTTGTTCTCTGTCGCGGAGTCCTCTCTCATCTTGTTGTTCTACCAATTAACCCTTTTGGGTCTACAGGTGTCCTGAATGATCATTGATTGATCACTTGCAAATGATCGTGTTGTGGCATGCCATGGAGTTGTTACCCTGTATCCCTCCACGCCAGGTGTTGGCAAGTCAATACAAGGTAGTTGTGTCTTTTATTATTCGCATCGACCGCGCTACCCGGTGACCAATACAAAGACGTCACAGCATTGCCAGCGGGTAAATATCAGGTCCCTGGAACGGCCAAAATTCGAAAAATGCACACTGCTCTAAATGCAAATGCCACCATGAATCTCTCGCCATATCCTTTCACAGAGGCACACATCAATAGCTCCACATACATGCCCTCGCCCGAATCTAGGAAGCCACTCAAGGAAAGACAGGATGACAGCGAAAAGGGGCACTTCAAGCCCAACCAGGCCATGATATGATCGTGGTACACTGCATATCCTCCAAATTCGAAAATCGTACACTGCCAAGATCCAGCAGTCATCGTGTCAGCAGCTATAGACTACTATACAGCAGCAGCAGAATAGACGAGTCCAACATACAGTAGTAGTAATACATACACTATCATCATAGCCCTACACAAACCCTCGCCCGAACCTAGAGAGCCACTGATTCCAAGGTAGGTGTGTGCTGTGGTGTGTCTGCGTGCTTGTGGGAATTGTGGGAAAATCACAGGAGCCGGCAGGGCTCACATTGGGGAGGGGACAAAGAAGTACAAAGTACAAGAACCAGCTATGGGTCTACAAGCCCTCTCACTCATCATTTTCACTGATCATTTGAGTATACTGAAAATAGAGTAGTTTAGGCTGCTTGACGACTGATCTTTTCGAGGTCTACAAGCCTAACCTGCCCTAGCAGCCGCACCGTTACCACACTTCAACCCTTCTTTGAGCCTGCATGTGCCCACCGTCCTGTCATAGGCAGCCCTCATGGCCTATGGGTGAAGATAGCTGTTGCGTCTACACAAGTACACACATCTCTTTCTGCCGTACTTCTGTCTCTCTCTCCCGCATTCTCTCCTCCCTATTTATTTTTTGCTGAAAAAAGGAGCTAGACCCAAAGAGGTTAAAAAGGATTATTGTACATCATCATGTCACACAGCGGATGGATGTACAGTATGCCTACGCCAGTCAGTCGTTTGCTAGCCTTTCTTCTTGTGCGCTGGTTAGCGCCTGTCTGGTGTTTGTGGATGACGAAATAAAGGTGCGTTTTGGAGCGAGCGATGACCGGCTGTGGTTCTTTTCACACGCCTGCCTACAGGTATCCGCTGTGCAGCTGCTGCAGCAGAGGTCTACAATATTGTAGTCTACATGTCAATCTGTACACACTGCTGCTGCTGTTGAAGTGATCGCCTCGTTTCCCCTATGGAGGCTGGCGAGAGACGCACAAAGATATACATGAGCTCAACGAGCGACAGCTAATAGATGTAACTATCGTCAGACGTGTGCGCCCACGGGAGGGAGAAGTGCGGGTGATTGCGAGGGGCACCGCACGCAGTGGAATAGAGGTAGCCTTTTAGAAATAGTCTCGCTTCGCTCGAATAAGCTCCTTGCGTGTAGTTTTAGTATACCCACAGCAGTAGTATTTGTGTCGTAGGAGTCTCTTGTAGTATGTGGCGGTAGATGGATCTAGCGAACACACAGTGGTTTTAATATGTTCCATGAACGGACGTGTGTGCTGTGCAAAGGCGTGCATCCTGTGTAGTCACAGCAGCAGCAACAGTAATAGTAGGAATGGTAGTCTACAGCAGTAGTAGTATGCATACACCGGATGAATCTATCTTCTTGTATGCATATTTCAACAGCATGTCCGCGCCGGAGCTACTGTAGGTGCTGGGTGGATTACAGGTACGTACGTAGATACGACCAGTAAACTATGATACGGCGGATGATGCATGTATGTAAAACATGTACTGTAGCAATGGTGATGTACAGCAGCAGTACACACAGCAGCAACACATAGTAGTGAGTACAGTAGTGCTGCTGTAGTACAACGGCAGTCCAGTGCATAGCGGTCATCATGTGGAGAACGGGTGTTGTGTGCCGTGCATGGTTACCACTGCTGTCGTCTACACCACAGTGTATGTGTAACCACCGCTGCGGTAGTCTGTACGTCTGTACTACTACACCAGTGTACTGAAAAAAAAATGTGCCATGGATTAAAATTTGAATCGTTTGAAGGGTTCCAACGTTCCAACCTTCTCTGGTGTGTAGTCTATGTGCTGCTGCTGTATACACGCATACAAATTACTTCAGAACAGAGTAGTCAGCTGGAGACTACGTAGCCGACACGCAACAAAAGGGAGGAGTGTGACACACACAGGTACGCTAGAGCTGTATAAAGCACGGCCGACACTGTGTACGAAATAGATACAGGGACCACTGCTGTATCACAAGATGATTGCTTGTGGGAGGGTGGCGCGTGCGTGCGCCGCCAAAGGTGTTGAACAAGGTTGAAGCCAAAGAGTTGAAAATAGGGGGCTGCTGCAAGGCTGCTGGTGCACGTACATTTGATACGCAGGTTTTAACCGCCACAGTCGCCGATAGTCAAAAGATACGGGCACGCACAGGTCGGCCGTTCGAAGCTCGTTTTCAGGAGCTGCTTACTTTCCCAGCTGGCAGCGGAGTGGGGTGCAAGGGTAGTTGCAGCGTTTCGCGAACGAGCTCTGACCAGGGGCAAAACCAAGAAGCGGTGCAAAAAAGGAGGAAAAAACTCGAGGCTGCTTTGGAGCAGTTTTGGTGCGTATCGTTTCGTCGCCTACAAGCATCAACTTCCCCGCTTGAAGAGATGTGCAGGCAACCCTTTCGATTCTCGTTGTCGGGAGTTGCTTACTTTGCATATTGGCAGCGGAATAGTCTCGAAAGGCCCGTCGCAGCGTTTTGCCAGCGGGGTATGTGTGTTGTGTTGTGTGTTTCGTCCTATTCATAATGGCGACAGTCGCCCCATTTTTCGTGGTGAGACGTGTACTTCAGCGTATGTATGTAGAGGACTCCACTTTTCCGTCTATTATTTCGTACAACTGCAACCATCCAGGGTCACAGGAGGGGGTAAACACTACGGATTTTTCTTCTTTTTATTTATTTTTATGCTCCACCTTCCTCCTGCGGTGCGTGCTGAATTTTATCTTTATCGCGAGAAGGGTCCAGTCGTCCCTTCCCCGGTGCTAACGTCGAAGTTTGGTACCCACCAGAGCTTGTCAGCTATATTTCGCTTTCACCCGCACATTTCGTAAATTTTCATCCCGTGGGGATTCGAACTCACGACCTCTGCGAGTAGCGGATTACAAGGATACCACTAGACCACCGGGGCGACCGATGTATGCGTGCTTGCTGCGACGGCAAGCAGGAAGGGAGCATGTGACGGGAAATGTTAACCCCCGTGGTCCATGCGATGCATTTTGTGTCTCCCCTTAGCACAAACCTTGCTTGTACGTCGTGATCCGACCTACGAGGTGTACCAAGGGGTGAGCATCGAACAGAGTGTAGTTCTAGCTCCACATAGATGTAAGATTTTTGCCGAGGGGCTGAGTATGTGTTGAGAAATTGCGAATTCTTGCGGGGTGATTGTTTTGTGCCGCGAGAGGTGAGGGTAGGGATGACGACAAGCTGTCGCGGGCGGCGTGCAGGTCGGATGGCGTTGTAAATTGGCGCACACATGTGTGGACAGTGTTCGCGTTGGCTGTCCGAGTTTGGTGGACTTTCGTGAGCAGGACGCGGAATTATCGATGCGGCAAAAATTTCGTTTGCTGGGCAGCGCAGCGCAACTCGACTCGCAAATCAGCCGAAACGGCGTTCGTTGCCTTGTTCGCTCCCCTCGCCACCGTCCTTGCCGAGACTTGCGCAGCACGCCTATTTCGTCCTAGCGCATCGAGCCGCGGCCAGCATGGGGCGGTATCTTGCTCGGTCGTGGAGTACGCCGTGGCGAGAAAATGCAAGGGGTTGCCCAAGAGGCGCCTCAGCGCCTCTGATTTGGGGGGGTGTTGTACTTTTTTGCTGCGCTGCGTGCGACGCGAGTTGAAACGCTTGCCGTGCTGGCGAGGGCTGGGGTGTGGGCAGGCATGGCCGCGAACGTCATCGTCGTGGCGGTTTTGTGGCGTTGTTGAGCTCAAATAATTTAGCTGCGGAGAGGTAGAGCAAACAGGTTTCCACGCTGAAAACAAGTTAAAGGGTTTTTGAGCGAGGCAAAATGCTTGGGTTTGGCGCCGGTGTTGCTTCGATTGAAATTCCTTCCACAGGGACCTCGAGGGGTTGGTCTCGCAAAGGCACCGCCGCGATCTCATGCTCGTAGCTTCGCGAGCCGAGAGAAACTTTCTCCGGTCACTTTTTTCCCGGTCAAAAATCTCCGGTCAAGATTCCTTTTAGTTGGTTTTTTTTTTCGTAGCTGAAACCAATCCTAAACGGATTGGAATATCCAAAGAGAAACAGGAGGACCTGGACTTATCAAGACAAACGCAGTAGCAGTGTCAACCCGAAGAAATGCTCCAAACAGTTACGATTTCGAGTGGCACGTCGGACAAAGAATAGATGACGGAGATTGGTACAATACACGCCAAGCAAACAAATATTTGAGAGCACGAAAACGCAACCACAAAACTATCAAAAATATGGCCTATATATTTTAATACAACCCCACCACACAGCGTTGTTTGCATTACAGATGTTTGCGACACGGTACGGTGCCGACGATATCCTTAGATGTTTCGGTGTAAAGGCTGGTGTCAGATGGCAAGGTAAGCAACAGGTATCCCATCAAGAAGCTTTCATGCAGCTCTCGCGGGTCCGTCGCTTCCCTACATTCATGTGCATGGCAAATGTTTCGAGGTTTTTCGCCATTGGCAATCTCGTGCTGCCCTGGATGTTTTGTGCATATGCTCTCTGAATGCGTTCATGTCCCACGTACTTGCCATTTCTCACAGAGACCGACCGAGATGTAATAACGTTACACCATTCCCAATAGAAAATGCATTCATATTAGCTCTCATGTCTGTTGTGTTTCCTACGAGACCATGCCTCGCTTACAAGGCACAGCTTTGCATGGCACCGCTGGTGCTGATTTACGCACGACGCCTTGAATTAGGCTCTTCCCCGCCACCTCTGTTACCCCTGTTTGGATCGCCGCCCTCCATCTTCGACCTGCTTTAGCTGCTCGAGTTCTCCGTGGAGCAGGGGTGGGGACCGCTCTGCAAGTTCCTCGACGTCCCTGTGCCTGACGTGCCATTTCCTAACGTCGATTCCCGAGAGGAGCTGAAGATCACGTTGAACAGGTATGCCTTGATTGTTCTTGCTTGGTTGGTTTTGTCACTCAGTTGTGGTTCTCTTTCGGCTCCATGCCAGTCCATGGCATCACCGTTGGCGGTCTTTACGTATGATCCTATGTACTACTAACCCCCAACCGAACGTATCTCTGGTGGAAAGATGTAGACGGCATCTAGCAAAACGCTAACCGGAATGCAAGCGTGAGTGTCAATACGGAGGTTATGAATGCTAGGTCCCATTTTGACGATATGCAGGCGATACCACAGAATGGAGATGCTGCCAATGTTAAAAATTCCGACATGCTGTCATTTGGCTTAGCATTCCCGAACAAACGTATTGACGCGCGCCTTTTTGCTTGTACCCGGAAAATGAGCGGCATGATTCGTGGATCGAAGCCACCTGAAAAGCTGCGGCACACACCGGGCCGAAGACGTGCGTTAACCACACACAGCTCGGTCCCACTAGACACACGTAGGCACAGAAGGCGTGCTAATTGCGTATGTTGTAACGCTCTGATGACTCTTGCATCTAACATGAGCACTAATTTTTGCCTCAGTTCGTAGTCGCCTTCAGGAAGTAGGTGGAACGTTGTTCTGCTCAGTGACAATGGGCGCGTTGTTTCTGTCTCGACGAAGTCACCCAAGCTCTCCCGCTTTGGCACGCTGCAATTCGCTGTCTACATCAGTCTGCTAGGACAGTCGTTGCAGAAATCGAAGACTACCTCTAAGGAGTGTCGTTAGTATTTTTGTATGGATTTTTCTAGGGAACACTTTGCAAACATGCAACGCTTCACTACCAATATCGAATTGCTCCCGCCTGACACCTTCCCGAATCTGGCCCAAACATCGCAGATTCAACCGCCATGGGTGGTTGATCATGGCGGCGACAGTGACCGTTGCGGGGGCGAGCGTGGCAGCGGCTTCGTTCTTTGGAGGCAAACGCGCGGGCGGTGCGCTTGCCGCCACCGAGGCCTTGATCTTGACGTCACGTTTCCGTAAGGCTCTCGCCGTGAGACGAATCGACTAGGGAGAACAAACACGGCGTTTCATTCGTGTAGTGTCTCTGGACGCCAGCATCTACGTTTCTTCTCCGAGCGGTGCTGCCGGACTCGGCCGCCACGGCTTCTTCGTATTGCTGTGTTGCACACGAACACGATAGTCTCGCGGGCTGCCATTTCCGTGCCACCACCAACGCCTTCGCGTCTTACTGAGACGTGCCGTTCTGAATGGGTCGCCTTTGCATGGCTTGCTACCTGACACCACCAGGATGCGACTATGGTTGCTGGGAACACGGGCCCACGCCGCTGCTGCTTCACGTATTTGCTGTCGCAAGAGGGCTATAAGGTCGGGGCCGGAATTACTCTCAATACATTTTTTTTCATTTGGCCATGATAGAGTTTTTTGTGGCGTTCATGAAGCGAGGCGAGGCTGTGGTACTTCCGCGAAAGAGAAGACTCATCGTCGGTTTCGCCCCCTCTTGTTGGCCGTCGTGGTGTACATTTCTGCTGCACAGCAAGAAAAGTGTGTTGGTTGGATCTTGTGAGTTCAATCATCGATCGCGCGTGTCAAATCCTTCCGTCGACTAGGAATAATGAATGTTGCGTGAGAGGGGGCGCGAATACCGTGAGAAAGACTGGATACGGACGGACGCAGTAACAAACATAAGAAAACAGGTAGTTTCAACACATACAAGGCCCGATATAAAACGAAAGAAGCTTTTGTACACGACACACAACCACCCCGAGGGCGCACAAAAATGGCTACAACAAATACTTCGTGTTCCAGGCAATCGTCAAGTTTCATCGGGGTGTTTTTTGTGCGACGCTTGTGCGTTTTTTGTCCGGTGTCTTATGGTACTGCACACTGCACACATACATGTGGTTTCTGTTTTGATGTTTTGGGCTCATACTGACCCCCACACGTACGTTGTGTTACACGTTTGTTTAGCGTGAAGTGGGTTACACAGCAGCAGCATCAGTCTCTCCCTCTCGTTTCAACACATGGTTGTTTCCACCCCGTTTTAACCCAAACACCATCAGCGATTGATGGCGACACGACTTCAGTGTGCCGCCGTGGATAGTCCTACATGGATTGTCCGGTCCTCCTCTCGTCGGTATGTACTCAGTACTCCCGCGCCCCTTCGTAACGCTATCCACCCAAGCAACGATAAGACAAAAGCGGCGTAACTTTTAACCCGCGGTATGATCGTCCCACGCTTCGACCCGTCATTACCCTCATATGTACCCGCTCCACACTCTTACAAAGCATCCTACTTGATTGACTAGTCTAGAGTTGTGCCAGTGTATACCCCGGCACCCCCTTGGCCGAGTTTATTTTAAAAAGGAGGAGACAACCATGCCATTGTTCGCGAGGTAAAGAGGCAAATAATAAAGCAAGTGACCCGAAAGTCTCCAATAAGTCGATCTAGCTCTAAATAAAGGCGCTCACAGCGTGTCTGCCGGGTATGTACATATGTTGGAGCTCCATCCAGTCCGTGGTCATCATGCAGAAAAGTTCTTCCGTTCTGCGTAACAAACACGAAGGAGCTTGTTGGGCGCTACTTCTATCCAGGAACGAACCAACGGACAGACAGCGAGAGCAAAAACACACAATTGCTTGCTGTGGACGAAAGGCTCAAGCGCCGGATTCGAACCCCTGACCCGGCAGCTGGAAGGTTACGAGGATAAATTACCAAATAAACTGGACTGTAACCTTTTGTCACTTAAAAGATCCAGTCGATATGTGGCTGCATTTGGGCTCTTTAGAGCGCTCACAGGCCTGCATTTCTCAAATCTTCATTTATTATCCCGTTTTCCCGATTTGCGCTTGTTTCCGATTTTTTCATCTCTGTTACGTTTTCACCCTTCCTTTCGCACGCCTCTCACACGGGGCCTTCATCTTCCTCTCCCGGCTATCACACACACATCCATTCTTCACACATCCAGTCTGCTTTTGCCCGTTGCTCTCCACTGATGTACATCGTTCTTTCTTCCCCTCGCTGCCTCGGCAAGGTTTCGCGTAGGCATGACCCATATCGAGGGGGGGGGTCTTTCTAGCGAGCAGGGCTAGAATCACCCTCAAGGGACCGATGCCTTCTTCCTCGGGCTTGCGTACCCTTTTCTTGCTTATAGTGTCTGTGTTTTTTAGATCTTCTGAGGGCTCTAGCATTTTTTGTGACCACGGAACGAGTCTTTGCTAGATTTTGGGATTAGCAACTGACACGAGTTTAATGTGAAGAAAAAACAACAACAACAACAATTGTTCAACATCCACAACATTCAGCTTTCCTATTCGTTGCTTTTCAGTTCCGAACTTGGCTACCTTGAAGTACCTGTCAGTCTCGTCCTGCACGGACGGGTTAAATCGGGAATGCCCGTCACTTTCACCTGCTGCTGCTCTCAGCCATACACACAATGTCATCACGTTTTACACCAGTCTCTCTGTCTCCCCTCACACACCATCAGTGCGTTCGTTCGTTCATTACCTACCTTTTCACCCCGGCCTCTGCCTCTTCTTCCACATGTCTAGGAACAGCTTCTCAGCGCAGACCCCCCCAACCAAGCGCAAGCGGTAGCAGAGTACACTACAGTCAGTCTCTCTCACTCTCGCTTGTCCCACATATCAACTGCGCAACGATCTGTCTGTCTGCCTCGTTGGAGTTTAACTCCGCTTCTCTTCGGACTCTCTCCGAAATTTCCCTGGCGAGGGGCGGGGTCTCTTAGGAAATATACAAGTACATCCACAACAACAGGAGAGTTCTGACGGCGAAAGCCGCCAGAGTACGCCCTCTCTCTCTTTCTGCAACAAACCGTTTTTTTTACGAAGTTGCTTGCGCTTATCGCACATCTTGGAATCAATCTACTGAGCGGGGCGGCGAAAGTCGCCAGAGTGCGCCCTCTCTCTCTCTCTCTCTCTCTCTCTCTCTCTTCTCGTGCACTAGTCTTAAGCGTTTTTTCTCACTATAGACTATAGTCGACCACCGCTGGCTACGCGTATCTTGGAATCGATCTACTGAGCGAGGCGGCGAAAGCCGCCAGACCACCTTGTACGGACTTACAGACCAGTCTCGATGGCGTGTGTTTGGATCCATCGTGCCCAGACCCCATCGTGTCCGGATCCATCGTGTCCGGATCCATCGTGTCGGTCCTCTATACAGTAGCGGCTACGGTTTAAGAGAACTTATTTAAGAGAAAGTACAGATTTAAGAGAGAGGAATTGGCTTGTACCAATCAGAATCGATTTAAGAGAAATTTCCTATTGCAGCTGGGATTTTTCTCTTAAATCGAACAATATGGAAACCACGTGGAAACACACAAACGAAAAGGAAGGGGGGAGGAAATGGAAAGAGAGCGCCAAGAACTCGGAGGTGTGGTACAACAAGGTCGAGGACGGGGCGGCATGGTTCATGAGGAAATGGCACAGGCAGGAGGCGGAAGCGTCCGCGAAGCGCCAGCGCGCGCGGGAAGCAGAAGCAGAGAGTACGACCATCTCAGGACCGAAGAGAAAGAGAACCGGCGAAGCGGCGGTGGGGGGGAAGAAACGGCGAACGGGCACTGCTGTAGAAGCGAGTAGGGCGGCCGAGGCAACGCTTGTGGCGAACTATGCACCCGGCTGATGTTGTTGCGCCCGGTTTCCCTCCCTGCCGTATGCTATACTCCTTTATGTATGTCCTTGTATTGCCTTCGGCCTCTGTGCTGTGTTTCTTTTTTTTTTTCATGACCTCCCTGCCTGCTCTGCTGTGTTGGGTACCTTGATCTCGCTTTGCTGTTGCCTTTGTTTTTTTGTACGGCTGGCTGTCTGCCCATCTGCCGCCTCTTTGCCCTGTTTGCTCCGTTACTCCCATGCCCTGGTGCGCAGTGCCTGGTGCTGGTACGTTACGTTACCCTTTCATTTTTTCTTTCGGCGGGTGTGGGAAGCGTCCTCCTTTATTTTTTTTTTTTTTGTTATTTTTGTTTTGTTTTATTCTGATCGGTGTCCGAGGGCTCTTTTCTCGAACNGAAAAACAAACACACATCACACACCCACACAGCTGCAGACACCATGCCCTGCGCGGTGGGCAGTCGCTGCACGGCTGTCCCCGATCACACGCCAGGCCCGCCGGCGTTTTCACAAATCACCAATGTAGAGGAGTCTGCGGGCAGTACCTCCATGGTACCTGTGGTGTGGTGGACCCTCAGGGCACCTCCGAGATGCATCGCATCTGCCACAACTGCCTGTCCTCCCGTTGGTTTCTTGGGTTTGTGTTATTTGTACGGCGAGTGATGTTTTGATATTGTGAAGCTCTTTTTTTTTCGTTGACTTGTGTTTTTGTCGGGGGTTTAAATCGATGGGATGAGAGGTATGAGGGTGTTATGTTGAGGGTACGGTGGGAGGAAGGGGTGCATTGTGTAAACGGGTGCGTCGTTCTTGAGTGCTGGTGCATTCGTTGCCTCGTGTTGTCCTTCTAGAAGAGGTGCGACTATGAAACACAGCTATAAAACAACTCAACCAAAAACCTTTTACGTGTCCACGTGCAAAATGTGCATCGCANGGCTATAAAACAACCAAAAACCTTTTACGTGTCCACGTGCAAAATGTGCATCGCATCACACAACGATGATTTATTTTCCGAACGCAGATCCACCAAAAGCGTACCACGTACAGCAGTACTTGGGTCCACGTGCTTGCCAACCAAGAGAATGAGCGGTGTTTGGAGGTAGCCCGACGTGGTAACGCTAGCTGCGCAAGTGACATGCATGATACGCTCTCTTCATGACCTATTTTGGCATTCGAGTGTAGTCAGTGCGCGAGAGTCCCTGTTTCACGACCTTTATTTAGTTTTGTCTACGATATTATTAGAGAATATTCTCTTATATAGTGAAATACTGTTTAAGAGAATTCTCTCTTATACCGTAGCCAACACGATATAACAGAAAGCCGGATTTAAGAGAGTGAAATTGGCTTGTACCGACCCTTTATAAACCGTAGCCGCTACTGTACAGAGTAGTATTAATAGTGCCGACCGGTCACACCAACCAACCATCCTTTTTCTGATCGTACGTGCGGTTCAAAGAACGAATTGAACAGCTTCTGTTCGCATCATTCATCTCTTCTCGAGCAGATAACAAGAGAGCGAGAGGAAGAGAGGAGAGGGGGAGAGAAAATCCCTAGCTTGGTACGGGGCTGTCACAAAAGAAGAATGCTGGCGATATTCTACCGGCGGTTGGCAAAGTACTGACGTCAACCAAGCCCACCCTCCATTGATGAGGACAAGAACGTTTTGTTCTCTCTCTGTGTGCGCGCGAAGCGAGTCTAGCACGTTTCTTGGTGATACGAACTGTTTGCTGTGCTGATGTGAACACACCAACGGATGGATGACCATGTAGATCTATATGTATTGCGTCCCCAAATTGAACAAAACAACGTAAAAGAAACAATGGGTCCGTCCGCTTGTCGGGTAAAACTTCAACACGACACACCAGCCTGGCGGGCAGGCAGGATCCACGAATAGCCCGTATGCGGCCCTCATCAGGTCTATAGGCGAAGGGCGATCCGAGTGGTGAGCGTTACGTCGCTCGCCAATCGCAATCAATCACCTTGTCTCCAGCGATCGGAGGAAAACGAGGAGTAGAGTGTAGCACGCACCTTCTCGAGCACGAGGGAGCGTCGCGTTCGGCGGGAGGAAGAAGGGCCATCTGCCGGCTCGCCTTTGTACCGAGAGGAACGAAAGAAAGAAGGCACACCCGACAAATCTGCGAACGAACGCTCTTTGTTGTTCCGATGCGTGGCCGGTGAGCACGAGACGGCATGGGTTTTTCCGGCTTAGACTAGACTACTAGTTGATGGTTGATTTTGCGTGTGTTTCCGTGTAGAGAGACACAGCCAGGCAGAGAAGGGAGAGCGAGGGGGCGAGAGTAGTAGCAACGAACGGTGGATCTTGACTTTACTTCACAGCACTAACATGTTTGGCACACAATCAACGCTTCCAGCGTACATAATACAATAACTTGTAGTTTCTTTCGGGATTCTAGACTACATAGAGAGACATCAACAGCAGCAGTGTTAATAGAAGTAAAGAACAAGTCTTGTGTGCCCGGCCCAAGCGAAACGCGAAATAAAGCAGTTGTTGGAATCCCCGCGGTCTCTCTCTCTCTAACATTTCGCTCCTGGTCTGCTCTCACGGTATAGGGTAGATATTGCTACGAGACCACTCCCCGCGGCAATCGGGCGAGCGAGTGTTCGCCCATCGGCCTCTCTTCGCGGCCGCCACGCGAATGACACGCCCGATTCTGACCAAAAAAAAACCGGACAAACTAAATATATGCACCTCGTAACCCGGACAAACTTAATGATTTGTTTTGTCATGTTGTTGAGCCAGAAACAAACGAGTCAGCAGCAAAGCAGGCAACGAGAGGCTGACATAATATGTAGCACACGTTCGTGCAGCACTGCTGTTGTCGTCGTCTGAACCCGCTGTTCTGTATTGTTCGTGCGGCATTTAGACTAGTTGCGCCGCGCAACGCGAAACACGCACGCGGCAAGAGAGAGACAGACAGACAGGCAGACAGCGGGAGACACACACACGCATGCATGCATGCGATGACGTACAAAACATTGAATCGGCCAAACCTTTTCCCGCTTCAATTCGAGCGTGGGCGCGTGTTTGTGTGCCGCGAGCGCATGCATGCCTTATGACTAGAATTGTACCGGACGCACCAAACGTTCTCAGCGGGGTGTACATCATCGCGTGAAAGTGCATGCAACCTGCCTGGTGATCATGACGTCGCGGCTTTTCCCTTCTTGTTCCGCTGCCCGTTTGAGCCCCCCCGTCCTCCCAGGAAAGAGCTAGTTTCTTCATCTGGATGGTTTGCCACGTTGGAATATGTCAGATCCCCCTATACTACAAGTCCCCAAAAGCGAGCGGGAGAAAAAAAGGTTACAGCCGTGCACAAACTCAGGGCAAGCGCGGTAGTGTGGCAGGTGTCACCGTGAACCTTCACGCTGAAAGACTGTTACTGTTAGAGACTAGATACAGACTTCCGACTGTGGACAAATAAATGATCCTTTATTTGTGGTGGGTACGTTCGCATATGTAGATATATGGTGGGGTCGTAATGTGTCGCACAAAGAAGAGACCTTTTCATTCTGGAACGAATAAATAACCGTGACCGACCGCGTACAAATCATGTACTATGTATGTACCGTGCATAGAGTTGTTGTTGTTGTTGTTGTTGACTTCACATTAAACCGTATGCCAGTTGCTAAATGCCAACATCTAGCAAAGACTCTCGGCCCGTGGTCACGAAAGTGCTGGAGCCTCTGAGGATCTGAAGAACACGCACACGTAGCAAGAAAAAAGAAAAAGGTGTACAAGAGCCCGAAGAGGTACTACTACACCTATATATAATCCCTGCAGCACCGTACGCGTGCCCAAAACTGAACTACACGTCCGTCTCACCGTTCGACTACAGCAACATCACCCCCTACTTGTCCCACTCTGTACCAAAACGAATGATTGCCGACTACAGCATAC